ATTTGAAGTTTCATTTGATTCGACGAGGCTCGAATGGAATGGAAAGTGTATCATAGATCTGGTCAAAGCACTCGATCCACCGCTACGAATACATACGAGTGATTGCAAGTTTGATTGCGAGTGGCTCGTTCGAGTACCATTTCGAGGCATTAATTAGAAAGTTGGCGAGACGCAATCGAAAGGAGTATCTCGCTTCGGCTCCTCTATAAAATGACCGATTCGATTGGGAAATATTCGACTTTACAACCAGCCGAATTATCGATACCATGTTTTTTAGTCATAGAGTGCTCGACTTATAATGGAAGTTTGGGTAAACCAAGCGATAAATACTTTTTTCTCGTCAGTTTGCCAACATAGGTTCTCGTTAAAGAGGTACAAGGGAATTCTCGTCCAATTCGCATGGTGAACGATGATGGAGCGCTCAGATAGGAAAGATTTCGCAAGCGAGGAGGCGCGTGCGCGAGCCGAGACCATTGTGATTCCTCGATATTCGTACAATTAACAGGTGATTTTAATTGGATGAGCCAGGCTGGTTCTTTCAGCGGTTCACAGGGCACTCTTCCTTTTAATGGAACCCATCTAAAACCTGACGGCTCTGGTTATGGAAGCCTCTATCTATCCAGGTCGCACTCAGCTACCCGCTAATTCAATTAGCCAATTTTCATTGTACCGTTCGCGCGTCCACTGGTCCGTTTTAATTCGTAGGTAGAGCCGCGAACGATAGTCGATATCTTCTTTTCTCCGTTCCTTTTTCCCGTCCGTTCGCTGTCCCTTTTTATACATTTCCCCTCTAATATCGACGAGCCAGGCTGCCGTTCATTCCGTGTTTGCCCTCGGTCAACAGCGAGTCTGTCTTCATTCTCTCGTTCTACGAATTCGTGCTGTCTTCCATCTGTCCACGTATTATCCGCAGTGTTCGGTAAAAGGCATTCGTGATATTTCATTGACGGTAGTGCAGATTTTCTCAATTTTCGGTAGACGAAGCAAATACAAACGTAAGAAAATTCTTTACAACTAACCAACAGAGAGAGAGAGAGAGAGAGAGAGAAAGAGAGAGAGAGAGAGACAGACAGACAGACAGAGAAGAAGAAGCGCAGAATGAAAAAAAAGCAACGAAGAATGAGAGGAGCATAAAAGTAGAAGCCTGAGAATAATCGATTCTTCTACGTTATACATTACTAAAGAAAATAAGGGAAAAAGTAGGGCAGATAGTGGAGCAACATAAAGAGAAGGTACGCGATATCAGAGGCGACTACTCGCCAGGGATCGAAGAGAGGAAAGCTGGTGCGGGACAGGAGGCTCCCGTGGGTGCGGCGAATGTATAAAATCATATTTTTACGACGTCGCGGGACGAGAGGTGCGAAATAACAATTACCCATCCGTCAGTAGCGTACACGGCGTCGCTACGTGTCGCGATAAATTGTAAATAAGCTCCACCGTCTCGGAAATCCCTGGAATCTGGATAAACTTTTGAAAAGATATTCCGGTCGAACGTGACGCGTTTCTCGCGCGGCTGATGGAAACCACCCCCGGCCCGAGATTTATCGTAAATTTTAACGCGACCGTAGCACAGACGCCGCACCAATGCATTCACCATTCGTCCTATGGGCAAAAAGAAAACCCATTAACGTCTACCATTCTTTCTGCTTGTTCGTAACGCGCGAATCCGCCCGGTGAAAAAAGCATCGATACCATTCGCGGACGCTAAGTCCAGCTAAAAGGCAAGGTCGAAGCACAACTCTTTCGATATCGATTGGAGAAAAGCTCAGGAGTACGTACGTTTGTACAAGCTCCTCGCGAAACAACCTGTACATGTTTGTTATTGCTTGCCCGTACGATGAACCGGTTTCTTTAATTTCCGACCTGAAACTCGCCGGCTCGAAGATAAACGAACGAACATGACAAACAGAGACACGGAAGAGCGAGAACGTTGAATATTTGACGAGCAAACTCCGGATGAATTTAACGACATTTTTCCGTGCGATGTTTGCCCACCGCGTCCCCGCCAATTTCTAGATCCGTCAGCTATCCGGTGCTAGTAATACAGGATAAACACGACAATGTGCCGGGCAGAATCGAAACGGGCATGGTTCCACGTCGGGAACTGTTGACTCGAAAAATACCATAACGTATCCGGAAGAGACGAGAGCCAGCTCGGACTAGTCAGCTTAACCGTCGCGAAGCAGATACGAATGGAAGATACAGCACGCTTCTGATTGCTTTCCGCAATTCTCGGAGCCGGTACGATTCCCTTTTCCCCTTCAAGTCGACCAGAACACTTTCCCGTGCTGCCGGTTTTTCTCCGGGGGGCACGGCACGATTTCCTTTTTCCAGTTGGCAGAAGGCGAAGACTGCGGTACGGATAACGCAAACGTACGGCAACAAAACGATAGAAATCCGTGATAGACGGAGAGAAGCAACGGTAGGAAGATTGGGTAAGGTGGGTGAGAGAGACGAACGAAATCCCCGTCGAGGGACCTGGGTTGATAGTTCAAGAGCGAGAAGAAGAAAAGATAACGGTGGAAAAAATCAGAGAGCAAACGGTGCTTTATTTACGAATTCTTCAGGCAGGATGCAACGACGAAAGAGTGACGGGACAAAAGCGGAGGGAAACGCGCTGTTCCTTCGGGCGAACGGTCGACGATGCTTTTCCAACAACGCGAAGGAACCTCCTCCTAGGCAAATGCAGAGAGTTATCGGAGGGCAAAGGGTTGAGAAGGTAGAAAAGGGGGAAGAAAGGAACGTCGGAGGGTTGACAGTTTGAAGGGAACCAAGCAAGGGGATTGAAGAAGGAGCTCTACAGAATTAAGAGCCCATTAGCCTTTCATTAACTAGACGTTGGATACGCGGAGGGCTGACGGATACTCTTTTCTAACCCCTTCTTTGTGGTCGTGTCCCTTCAAAGAACAGACGAAGGCATCTCGATGAAAACTGGATCCATTCAAGCCTGGGCAGCCACTTACCACCATCTGGTATACACGCAAACGAGTTCCTCCCCCTATTGTGTTCGGGCCTGAGAGGAGGAATCGCGTAACGTTCTCCCGGAAGTGACGCGGATACAGCCTGCTTAAGTTTAAGCGACGATCGAAAAAGAGGAGACGCTCTTAATTCACGCTTGCTTCAAACACCTTACATGATACGATATAAGCAGAATCTCAGCGTGAGGAGAAAAGGCTGCAAAGCCAGCGAACGATGGAGGCGGCAAGGAAAATGGAGAAAGGGAAAACGAGTGACGCGAAATCTATTTTAAAATTAAGGATCAACATATCGCAACGGCGCAGTTGCATAAACTCAAGCACCGGATAGTAGGACAATGTAAGAAATCTAAATATGTATTCGTTTAAGTATACATCAAGATACATAATGTTTGATAAGGATTGAATAATATTCGTCTGTTACGATAAATAGTGTATCGCAAACATTGAGAAAGAAAAAAGAAGACCGTCAGTGAATTCTTGATGCACCAATACGCCATTGCGAATGGTTTAAGAATAATTGAGATCAGAAATTACATTGATCAACTGCATCAAATTGAAAAATATTAAAAAGCAATGAGATTACAAATATTATCTTATAAGTTTATAATTTTGCATACTCTTAAGATACCTTTTAAAGAGACACAAACAAACATATGCGATTAAGTCTTTTATTCTTTGAGAAATTCATACTAATTTAATTTCCAGACCGAGAAATAAAGGAAAAACAGAGAAGAAAAGCTCGAAAGGCAGACCAAGCTGTGTGTCACGACACATGTAATCGCGATGAAGATTTTCTCGCGCAGAGTCCCCATTCTATTAGACGATAATTGACTGTCAAACTCGCGGCACGCTGGCGCCGTGCACGGTCGTTCGACTGTAATGCCAGAAACGGGTTAATTGCGTTATGGCTGTCATTATCTCGGTCGCTGAGCATGCAGCTCTCGAGAGGAGCGCCACCCACGAGACGCGGCTTGTGCACGTAATCCCGGGTATGTTCTGCTGAAACGTTTACTTCTAAACGTGCGGGGCAAGAGAAATTTCGCCTCGTTTATTCGATTTGCCAACTCGCGCTTCGACTAGTTTTTTAACTCCTATCCGGTGGTCTCTCGTGAAACTTCCACAACTCGCTGTGTATCATTAGAACAAAACTATCGCCATCCTCGTTTTTCGCCATTTTTACACGCCAAATACCACAACCGAAGCAATTAAGGCCGAAGCTGAAGAATTTGTTATTACCTCAGAGGCTTGAAATTAAATAACTCACGGTAACTAACTGATGCTACAAATAACGAAAATACCGATGTCCAAAATACAGAATTTATATCGGAGAAAAAATATATGCTTCTGCCCGTGTATTTTACAAAGAATCATTTAAGTTCCTCCAAAAACCCACCGTTATCGATCTAACAAATTTCTGTTAGAAACGTCGAATTGTATTCTCGTGCTAAACCTAATTGTACGAAGCAAATAAATACGAAATGAAAATTTAACTGCGTGTCTGATTATTCTTCTAGTATCTACTTAAGCAATCGTTATCCATTCATCTCTATAAAACACTGTGTCAAATTTGCCAATACTGATACATATTGAAACGTTACCAATCAATCATGTAATTTAAAGGCCTTGGAAAACTAACTTTCTTACAAATACAATTTGTCTTTGTCAAACCATAAATAACGACGCTTCACGAATGTGATATTGCAGGATAAAGATTTGATCTACGAAACATCCAACGTCCTATCCAAAGAAAACCGCATTTCAATTCGGAATAAAACCTAGCAACGAAATATGACGGAAGGGCTAGCAAGTGAGTGAAACCGTTCATTTAAAAGGGGGGGGGGCAACGTTAATTAACATTTTCGCGTTTGTCGTTGGGTCGATGCGTTTTACGCTTTCACGCTCCCGTTCAACAATTTCGTCGAGTTCACCTCGGCGACGTTCGGTCGGGCGAACCGCGCTCGATGTCGCGGCAGGAATTAAGCAACGCGTGTACGTAGATAACGCAGAGATGGAAGAACTTACCAGGATCGGAGGAAGGATGAGCCCTGGTGAGTCTGCAGAGTTGCAGCGGCAGATAACGTGTATCCGCTCGCGGTGGTGACTTTGGAGGCGGAGGAGTCGCACTCAGGAATCCACGCTGCAGCTCCCAGCCAACCTCCTGGATGATCGAAGCTTTCCTAAAATACGGTGTCACTTCCCTCAGGTATTTCACTGCAACAGAAAAATGGCCAACTGTGAGAGATTTTTGTTTCGACATTCAAAATCGTACGCTTTAGTGGAAAATAAAACAATGGAACTGAGAGAAGATGAAAACGCCAAGATTTTGACAACAGCGCTTTCTGTTTTTGAAAATTTCTATCTCTATAAGTAGATTCAGCCTTAAACTTTCGACCGATCGATGATATTATCAAAATCTATTAAGTTGTCCGGAAAATGTCATTCTTTCACAAACGTGTTTTTTACAACAGTGCACCTCCATACAAACGTGAAACCAAGTCTGTGAAATGTCGCGGTCTTTATCTCAACAGAACAAAATCATACGTAATTCGACAAAATAATATAAAACAAAAGACGTTGTGCGTCTATTATTTCCTCATAAAACGAAAAAAGCTTTTCGCACAACTTAGATCGCGGCCCCTCGATAAAGAGTCACGAACAACCAGGCGCCATTTCGTGGATGATGCATAAGTAGTGCAGGTAGGGGAACGCTGATTCTTCGGTGTTTTTACGGCGTCCAGCCTTGAAATTTGCCGTGTACCTGGCCGACAGTGGAACAGGCCGAGGCGAGCCTCGTAAATCGTACCTCGGCCGGATCTCTGTTTCGCCATCGAAGCGTCTGCGAGATACGGTACCGCGGTCACGTACAGACTGTTTCAAAATCCAATTTGTCGTTGATGTTTCGACGTTGCTGTGCCACCGACGCGATTACATATAGGACAAACTCGTTAAAGTTCGAAGGAACACACTGTGCACGAGCACAGGAGGGGCTACGAACGATAAGGGGTGAGTGGTAAAACAGAGAAGAGAAGAGGGGATACGAAGGTGCGCGGGAATAGTCTGCAATCCTGACACGAGCTAACCGAAATACTGAAACATGTAACACACGCTCAGAGGGTGGCAGAGTAACCGACACCCTCGGGCGAACGGCGAATTCGCAGGAATCCCGTAAAAACCGGTCGTAAAGTCGGGATACGTTCTCCTGGAGGAAAGACGTGGCTTAATATCGAACTGATCGGTGGAATATCGACCGGCCTTTTGGCCCTCCTATTCCTCGTCCTGGAATTTCCGTCCGTGCTCCGATTCTCGTTACCGAAATTACCGATCTATACGGAGTAAACCGTGGGTTTACGACTAGTTCTTTTTAGAAGCAGAAGTCGATGGTACGTGCGTGCACGTGTGTGGGTGAGTGTGGGTGTGTATGTGTGTGGGTGTGTGTATGTATGTGTGTGTGTGTGTATGTATGTGTATGGAGAATATAGTATAGCAGCGTTGTTGATGGACGTAGTTTACTCAAATTTTCTCAGGTAATCAGCGGCACACGAACACGCTAATGTCTTTCATTCATCGTAAACTCTAATCATAACCATTTGCTTGTCAATCTATCTGCTCCGACAGAATCTTTTCTTCCTCATCGTGCACAACGTGGCTAGTTCGGTAAACACGGTAGCAATTTCAACGATGCCCATTGATAAGCGACGTACACCGTGGTCGTAATACAAGTCCCGAGTAACCAATCTCGTTCACTGAGCGGCGCAAACAGCCATCCATCTGTCCAGTGATTCGTCGCATTATTAATAATTAGACGCGCTCGTGTACGCGACACGACTGTTTGTCCCCGATTTCCATCCAATTGGATTACCGCTCGCGTCACCATAGAATTTCATTCGCTAATATTGGCCGGATAAATCTGGTCGTCGGTCATCGACGTTCTTATCCTAGCGCATCGTGATCCGCGATAATTCTCCGGTTAGAGAATACTTGTCTCTGTTTCTACGAGTGTTGCGATTGCCGTTAAAACAAATTGCAAACGTTTGATTTCCAGAACTATCGAATTGAACATTTCTGTAAGCCTGGAAATTGGCAACATCGATTATATTGTAAAGCACACGGATAGCCAAGTGACCGGATTCCAAAAACTTCTATCATTTACCATTTTGCCTGAAAATCACGTCGGCGCATCGAAAAACGAATATCGAATATGGACTACGCTCATACGCTTTTACTTGGATTTCGTGGAATTTTGGAAAGCCACGAGTCGAGATCCGAATCCTGGTATGTCGAAAATTCTGTCTGGACGAGCGCGATCGTCGTGTGGTCCGCAAAAACTCGAAACGTTCTGGTCGGCCGCGCACCGACCGGAACCTGCTGTGCAATTTTCCGCGCGCGTTCGACACGCGAGCGAACGAGCTTCACCGAACGCGGCCACCTATAATTTCGATCGCGTATTCGAGGCCGATCGTCGTTGGCCCTCCCATTCTCGAGGCTGGCAATTTCGCTCGATCGACGCGGCCGATAACGAAATCCGCGGCTCTCCCCTAGATAATTTTCGCGCGTGAAGTGAATTTCAGGATGAATCGTGCAAGAGGAACGATCTTGATATCGCCAAGCGTTTGTTCGATTATATAACTAAGTCTAATAACAAACGATTGTAGGATCGTAAATGAGCCTTTTCACCTAAATATCTTACAAATTAATCACTTTAATAAATTAAGCATTTATCCTTGGTGCATTTCCGCTATTTTCTTTTCCCTTATTATCCTGTTCCTTTTCTCTTTTGTTAACACAGCTCTTCAATTTAGCAGATTAAATCATCCTCGACTTTTTCCACGGACAATTTTATTTAATATCCAATCGTCTGTATCCGTGAATTTAAACTCCTTCTTTCTATTTTCTCAATTTCCGCAGACATCCAAATATAGAATAATGAACAAGTTAGGAGAAAGCATGAAAAATTTTTGCAATAGATTGTATAGATTGACATACGAACGACGTTGTCGAAGTATTTGCATCCAAATTATTCATAAACCTGGGAGATTTTAAGACGACAAACAAGCAGTTAGTGACTCTGAGAAAACAGTAAGTAACGTTTTCGAGGCCAGAGAAGAGGTCAAGGAGGAAAAACCCGGGAAATCCACAAAATATTTGAAAGTCGAAATACGCTTTTTGTTTGTGCGGTCTCGAAAGGGAACACAAAGGTAATGGGACACAAAGCTCGATGAGTGGCGTCCAACGTTGACGCTACTTTTTAACGCTCCATTAATATAATTAAGAGATCCCACTCGGAAAAATATTCCTCTGATTAGATTACCCGACACGAATGTATCACTTAAAAAAAAAAAAAAGCGACGAGAGCGGAATGAAAAGCCGAATAACTGACTAAATCGTGAAACAATAAATCAATTAAGTGGGCGTGGGAGGAGGCAGGCTTTATAAAATGATTATTGGTGATAGAAAGACGAGTCAAAGAATCATGAAAATAGGTGTCTATCGAGTCACTCTAGAACGCTGCAGGTAATTGGAATTTCTATTAAGATACGTCTATGCGAATGGCAGAACTGTTAGGACTTTATCTTCGGAATTAGAGACACTCGCAACGAGACCACGTTACAGCAAAATACGCTGGTTTCTGGAATATGCAACATCCCCGGAGCTCGCTACTGCTAATCTACTTTAGCAACTCTCTAAGAACAACTTGCAGGTAGAACATTAGTTTTCCTTAGGGAATGGAATCAATTTCCGCATTAGGATTAGTTAAACGTTCGAATCTTTCCGAACTTCGCCAACTTCCAACAACTTCTCTGGTCTCTCCGATATGCACGAGTATCATACGATACGTAGGTGTATCATATATCGTTTGTGTGCATCAAAATTCATAACAGGAACGGTATGGAAGAAACATCGGCAGAAACGAGTCAGAAAGATAGAAGAAAGAAGAGACGAGGACAGTTTGAAGGCGACCGATCGAGCTCCGGGGACGCGTTCGAAATAAGAGGAAAACGAATAAACCGGAAGTCGATCGCTGTCCGCTGCCGACGGAAGATATTTTTAATATCCGGCGAGGCAACCATCCGCTCGTCTTATCCCACCGCCTTGGCACAGCCCCGTGTATACAGAAAGGGACAAAAAAGGGTAGCTTGCGTCTACAAGGGGAATCATCTCGTATTGAAATTGCACGGAAATTTATCCCAGATCGGTAGGTAGCTATATCGATGCACCATTCTAAAATTCGAATCCCGATGAAGAATGGATCGTCTCGATCGACCTATTCTTAGACTTTGCTAGAAACGTATGGGGCCGGACAACTTTGTTGGAGAATTCGAAAGAAGCACACGTGAAATCTTGATAATTTGTTACCGTGAGAACAAGAACACGGGGGGATGATGAACGATGAAGAATCGAGCAAATAATTATTCTACGGTTATTAGGAATTACGAAAAGATTCCACGTGACAAGAATACGTATTGCTGATGTGAGATTTTTGAGAACGTAGTATAATTGAAAATGAAAGAATCTCGTATGAATCGTGTAAAATTAGATAAGATTTAAGCGAGTTGAATTGTGTTGAGTGAGAGAGTTACATTGTATTATTTCTATGTTATTGTAGAATGTAATTCCAGTTTAGTAATGCTATTAGCCGATATATTCCTACACCGTCGCTTCATTTATCGCCAAATTTCGAGCTAATAATTACAACAGCATATTTATAGGTACATTATTAGCCAAAATTAAAAGCTTTAAACAGAATACAAATTGTTTAGAATTTTCGATCCCAATAGCCGAAATAATGGCATGGGAACACTAAATTTACACTTAGAATTTATATTAGAATAGTTATACTATATTTATTTGATAAACGATTTCAAAGATATTCATCGATACACACTTGCACGCGTCTCAGCACTTTCTTTGTCTCACCTTCTTCCATACCAGACTGTTAACCGACTGAACAGTTTACATTCATTGTTTTCGAAACGCCGCGCACACACATTCTTCCACGCACTGATATTCACACACATGTATGACTACTATGCAGCTAATCTAGTCTAGCACATAAAATTATACATATCTCAATACAAATAATTCGGGGAAGCATCAGGGACCAAAGTGGAAACGCACGTGCGACTGGCGTATGTCATTATCACTTTGACTGCCACGGTGGTCATTGGTGACCGGAGCGTTTGAACTTCTTACAATTGTAAAAATTGTATGAA